TCCAGTGGCACCTTTAAGACTAAGTTTTATTCAGGTACAAGCTCTCCCTCCTCTGTGAGGACAGATCTGCACGCCCCCCCCCCAATAGCTAGCAATCCAAAACAGTCCAGTGGAGCCTGAGCGGTGGGTTTTGCCTCATGACACACTTCCGGTGATGTCAGGGGGTGTGGCATATGCAAATAAGTTATGCTAATGAGTTATGCTAATGAGCTCCTGCACCTCTTTTTCTACGAAATGACCCCTGCTACAGACACTAATAAGCCTCAATGCATGCTGGGAGACATTCACAGGGTGGCAGACATTGCTGATGACAGGTAGAATGAGGGCAAACAGGCACGCTAAAAAGTGGCAAATAAAAGAAGTTCCATTGGGCATTTGAATGTAAATATCTGGCGGTTTGCCTCCTCAGCACCACTCAGCCTCCTTGGCCTCCATCTTTGACCCTAGTTTGGGGATTTCCTGTATCACGGTTGTTTTTATTTTGGACTCCAACCCTACTTTGTCAAGGCTGAGACATCTGTTTTCCTTTACTGTCTTTACTCTCCCTTAACAAGTGGTTGTCCGTTTTGTAATCCCATGTATATTGCATTTGTCTTAAAATCGTTTTAACTGATGAGAAATGCTGTCCTACAATTAAGCAGAAGGGTCTCTCAATTTACAGCTTCTTCAGTGGGCGTGTTGATTGTTTTCATTATTTCAGAGAAAAAGAAAAAGGGTTTATCTTAAGGCAACTTGATTTTCATGTAGAACTGCCTAAGAAGAACAAGACTTTCCTTAATTAAAAGAACTGTGGTTACCCCTTTACAGTGAGCATAGTTCCCCAATAAGAATTGGGGCTGAGCAGTTTTTATACAACTGAAGCTGCATTTAAGTGTAAAAGAACAGAAAATAATTTAAAACACTTATGTGTGGGAAGTGTGCTAGCGTTGCATATTTGTCAACCAAGCGTCCTTTTCCAGGTTGCGAAATCAGAACCTCTTCTTAATCAATGCCAGCAAAAGGAAACAATAGGACAGACCTCCCTCAGCAATTGAAATCTGTGCTACCCGACTCTGGTCTCATGTCAGGGATGGTGTTCTGCCTGCGATTCATTAGAATATTTGTACCTTGCCCTTTTTTAAAATTGAAAAGTAAATACTCAAGGGGACTTATAATATTGAAGTCCACATAAAACAGTTAAATATAGATGGCCATTAAAAACCTATGGGTGCTGGGGACAAGATTTCCTTCCAGAATTACCCCAAAAAAGTTTTCAACTGATGCCAGAAGTCCTGTTAAAAAGACGAGGGGGGGAGCTGTCCTCAGTGCGAGGGGAGGGAGGGGAGTTCCGAAAAGCAGGAGAGAGTGCAGAGAAAACCTTCACGTGGGTTCCCAGCAGTCAGATTACTCTACTGGGAGCTTCCCTCGATAAGGGTTCCTAGGCCAGCCTCAGAGTACAAGCTGCTACATATGAGAGGTGGTGGTCCATCAGGAACCTGGAACTCGGGCTGGCAGGCCTAAGCCTCCCGCTATGGTGGGAGGATCCCTGTTGGCAGGCCTAGCTCCCCACCGCCACTTCGAGCTGTGACAGGAGCTTTTTAATATATATATGTATATATGGCATTGGCTGCGTCACTACATCAACTCAGAAGTGACATAGGGTAGCTCTAGGAATCATCGGAAACTCTATGGCAATTCCTCAAGCTACCATACGTCACTTTCATGTTTTCTCTGGAAGTGATGCGGCGACACAGCCTTCCCATGTTCCCACCCACAAACCTTCCTGCTGTTTGCCAGGCATGCTGTTACCTGCATGCGGGTGACAACTCACCCCGAATGGCAGGATGGTCTCTCCCAGTGGTTTCATGTTAAAAAGCATGAGAGATAGGGTTCCCAAGTCAAAAATACTCACCGGCGGGGGAGCCTTGGAAGTGACGTGCAACGATCGTGGGAGGGACCTCCCCAATCCGGGCCACGCCCCCAACGTGGTCGACATGCAAGTCACTTCCTGTGACGCTGCGCTTCGGGGGGCGGAGTTCCCCCCAGGACCCGATTCCACGACGGCGGAAATCAGGCCCCCAAAGCGGGGGGTTACCCGCCACCCGCCCCCACTTGGCAGCCCTAATGAGAGAGGCCGGGGGCAGAGCACCGCTTTCTGAAACTTCCCTTCCAGAAAGCTGTCTAGCACAGCAATGAGGGAAACTTCAGATCAGGCCTTTTGCTTTGAGGTTTCATATTTTGATGTGCCCTAACATTTATCTCCAAGTGGATGGCAGAAACTGATTAACAGAGTTGCCAACCTCCAGGTGGGGTCTGGAAATCTCCTGGAATTACAACTGAACTCCAGACCACAGATCAGTTCCCCTGGGGGGGAAAGACTGCTTTGGAGGGTGGACTTGATATCTATGACGTTATATTCTACTGAGGACCTTCCTCTCCCCAAATCCCACCGTTCCCACCTACAGGGGAGGACGGGGTATAAATTTAAATAATAAATTAATAAATTAATAAAGAGTTTCCCAACCTGGAATTGACTACCTGAACTTATCCTATGGTAGCTTTTGAAGGCCGAAATTTAAATAATAAATAAATAAATAAATAAATAAATAAATAATTTCCCAACCTGGAATCACTACCCGAACTTATCCTATGGTAGCTTTTGAAGGCCGCTAATACGATGTAAGACTTGTGGGGCCACAGGAAACCTTAGCTCAGCCATCAAGACACAGGGTGATCTTGGAAAACAAACTTCCTCTGCCTCAGCTCCTCATCACCAAAGCAGGAATAATAGTGATAGAAGTAGGGTTGCCAACTTCGGGTTGGGAAATTCCTGGAGATTTTGAGAGTAGAACCTGGGAAGGGCAGGATTTGGAGAGGGGAGAGACCTCCGCTAGATATAGGTTGAATCTGCATTTGTCTTTCCCACCAGTGTCCCAGCCTTCTGACTCCGTCTTCAAAAAAGCTGTCTACACTTGGTTTCGTTTTCACACCTCAACAGTGCTAGCATACTTTTGCATGTCCACATATGTTTATCACCTTCTCATGGCGGCTCCACTGTCATTGCGCCTCCCCACTGCTTTAAAAGAATCTTCTCCAAACAACGTTCAAACAAGCATAGAGAAAGACGGCGTCACAGCAGCACGAAACTGATTTTAAAATGCAAATGCAGATTCGACCATAATGTCATTGTGTACCTTCCCAAGTGGCTGTTTTCTCCAGGGGAACTGATATCTACTGTCTGGAAATCAGTTGTAATTCCAGGAGATCGCCAGGCCTCACCTGGAGGTTGGCAACCCTAGGTAGCAATAATAACCAACTTCGTCTTCCACCAGCCATCTTGAATCTTCCCTAACACAAATTTTAATGTCCTATCCTAATGGCACTTGATCAAAGCAGCAGAAAAGGAAAAACAAGGTGCAGGAAAAACTTTTTATTAGCATTCTTTTTTGATCCCAAGATAAGAAAGAATAATAATAAAAGAAAGAAATAGGAAAAACCTTCTATTAGCATTCTTTCTTGATCCCAAGAAAGAAGAATAATAAGAAAGAATAATAATAAAAGAAAGAAAGAATAATAATAAGACATTAGAACTGGTCTCCAGGCAACAGAGATCCGTTGCCCTGGAGAAAATGGCTGCTTTGGACGATGGACTCTGTGGCATTGAACCTCATTGAAGTCCCGCCCTTCCTCAACCCTGCCCTCCTCAGGCTCCACCCCGAAAATCTCCGGATATTTCCCAACGCGGAGCTGGCATCCCTAGTCCTGACCCTCCTCACCCCTTCTCCACTTTTTTTGCTCAGAACCGATGTTTCCTCAGAACTGTTGACTTGGATTTTAAGATGCCTGAAATCCATGTCTGGCAGAGATAATGTTGGCTATGACTCTACCAGTAGGGCTGAAAGAAACACTAACTTAGGCGAGACCCCTGGAACTGCACCAACACTGAAGGCTGTCAGGTCCCAGCAGGTTATCAGAGGGCACATAGTCCTAGTTTCAGACAGGCCACATTCCTGCATCTAGTGCCTCCTCTGCTAAGTGCCCATTTAGGGTTGCCAGGTCCTTACCATCTGCCGGTGGGGGGCGCCGGACTGCTCCCCTGGGTCTTCTGATGCACGTGTGCAAAGTGCACACACTGCAATGACATCACCCGGAAATGACATCATCATGCTGGGCACGTTGTGCAGGGGACACTCTAGCGTTTGGCCAAAAACTCTATGGTCACCATAGAGTTTTTAGCCAAATGCTAGAGCATCCTGCATGCCCACTGGCCAGCAGATTGGGGCCACCAAAATTGGGGAGGAACCCACCCCCATCCGGGGGGATAGCAACCCTAGGTCCCCTAGGGCCCAATGGCCTGGGCCTTCCAGTCTCACAGATGTTTCTGGACAGAAACTTAGATCTTTAGGTCCTACTTCCACTCTGCTCAGCCTTGGGTCACCCTTGGCTGAGTCTGGGGAGTGGTAAGATACAACATGCCAGGATTTATCAAGAAGCTCTGAGGCTGGATATTCTTGAAAAGCTGCTAGACATTCTTGAAAGGATCTAAATGTGTGTGGGTGTAACAGCCTGAAAGTGGGTGCCTGAAGCCATTATGGCTGGTTATCTGCTCTTTCTTTAGGACCTCGTACATCTGATGACATATAGATAAATAGGGTTGCCAACCTCCAGGTGAGGACTGGAGATCCCCTGGAATGGCAGTTTATCGATGACATAGATCAGCCCCTTGAGGAAAATGGTTGCATTAGAGGGTGGACTCTGTGGCATTTACCTCAGGAAAGTCTCTTGACTCCCCAGATCCCAATCTTGCTAGGCCCCCTCAAATCTCCAGTAATCTCCCAACCCAGAGGTGGCCACCTTATGATAGATGACAATGCAGTTGTATGAATCAGTCCAAACAATACTGAAGCCAGAGAGGTCAGTGTGAAGACCATCTCTTTGCTGAGGAGTAAGCTGTTACCCAAGTAGACCACTCAGTGGCCCAATCCTGAAACTCTTTGTTTCTTTTTCTTTCTCTTTTGCAGGCCTATACAATTCAGGGACAGTACGCTATCCCACACCCAGATGTGAGTTGCACTTTCGTATGTTGATTTCTTATGTCACCTGCATGCTACGGCTGTCAAATACTACTAATATTAATATTAGACCATAATATTAATAACCATTTTGCGCAGAGTAATTGGCCAATCGTAGTCTTGGCAATAGTCTTTTAACCTAGTAGCGCTCAATTTTATTTCACACCGAGGACTTGGCCTGTCGTCAAATTCTTTGCGTTCTTCTGTGCTATCCCTTTGCTAAACCAAAAACTGGAAGTCTCTCTGGATATATGCATTTTGTGCCTCAGGGCCTGGCCGTCAGAAAGCTTTGCCCTCTCCTCCCTCCCGATAAGCATCTAGCATTCAGAGGCCTCATCCTAACGTGTGCTTATAGAGACACGCTGGATTTGTATGCATGATGCACTTACTAAGATGAATCTACCCGTTGCTCTGTCAGTGAGGATATCTTCATTCCCAATGGAGAAAAAGCTGAATGCCTGGCTATGCTACAGCTCCCCAATGGCCAGGGTAAAGGAAGTGTCTTTAAAGGTGGTGGTTTCTGTGACCGTTCAGGGCTGAAAGTGGACACCCTTTCCTTGAGTATTCTGCAGAGTGTTCTAGAAGCAGCTTCTGGAGAAGGGACTGTAAGCAATGCATCAGTCAGGGTCCCCAATCGTTTTGAGCCTGTGAGCACCTTTGGAAGTCTGACACAGTACAAAATGGCTGCCGAAAATGGCTGCCCCACGAGACAGAGCCAGCCACAAAATGGCTGCTGCAGTTTAACTTCAGTCACACAGTGAAGATCCTTGTGCTGTGGCGGCAGCTGCTGCTGAAGCAACATTTTTTTAAAAATCTGCACAGCCAATCAAGTCTCAGTAGCCAGTTAAAACCTTGCTGGGCAAAAGCCCCATCTGGCCCCGCCCTAGGACTGCCAGGTCCGTCTTCATCCCCAGTGGGGGGATTTAGGGGGCGTTCCAGGAGGAGACGGGGTGTCCCAAATGCAATGATGTCACTCCAAGCCCTGCCCCTTAGACCAATAACCGCAGCTGCCCCTCTCCTTAACCTCCTGCAAGATTTAAAGGGCCTGCAGATGAGGTGGAGGGCCCTTTAATTCTTGCAAGAGGGGAGGGAGAGGGGCGGCCGCTGGCCGTAAGCTTGAACTCCAAGTGGCAATGGAACTCCAAGTGGCTTGAAACTCAAGCACGTGGGGCCCAGACCCCGCCGGCCAGAAGCACTTAAAGGGACCCTTTAAGTGCTTCCAGCCAGTGGGGCCCCTCATGGCCAGTGGCAGGTTGAAGCCCAAAAAAAGCGGATAAACTCCTACCGGGCCCGGGGGTCTGGCAACCCTATCCCACCCACTTTCTAAAAACACTTCATGGACACCAAGAAAGGTGACAGCAGATGCCATGGCAGCCTGGGGCACCAGGTTGGGGACTCCTGGCCTAAATATTATTGGAAGTGCTCTCCGCTGTGGAGTACTTGGTACAATCGAAGATTACCTTCCTTCTACTTTCTTACTCAGTTGGTCAGTCTGTGTCTGTACCACACCAGCTGCAGTGGGAGGCTCACATGACTGAATGTTTCGCTATTCCCAAAGTTGCACCCGCATCTAGAAAACTAGCATGTCAGGTACAAAACCTTCCCCGTGACAGGCCGGTATTCTAGAGACAAGGTTGCTCATTTTGTGCCGGAGCATTTAGCCGGTCTCAGATTTTTTCAGCTTGTTCGGAGTCCTTCGGAAATGTTTATCGCAACATGAAGGGGGGGGGCATAAGAAGATAAGAAAAGCCATGCTGGATCAGATGAGTAGTCCATCAAGTTGTGCATTCTATTTCACTCAGTGGCCAACCAGGTGTTATAGGGAAGCCCACAAGAAGGGAAGATGGAGGCAAATGCAGGGGGGAAGGCACGGGATAATATACTCCATAGGGTTGCCATTCCCCAGTTGGGGGTGGGAGACTGCCCAGTTTTGTGGGCTCCTGATCACCGCCGGCTGGTGGTAGGAAATCCCCCCCACAGCAACGTCACACTATATGCCTATGTCACCCAGAAGTGACGTAGGCACATCAGTGATTTCAGGGGGACGCTCTGGGTTTTGGACAAAACTCTATGGTTTGAGGGTGATCTTACCATAGAGTTTTGCCCCAAAACCAGAGCGTCGCCCCTGACATGCCTACATCACTTCCGGGTGACGTAGACACATTGGGGGTAACACTTCTGGCTCCCGGAACGTCCCCACCATCCCCCCCGCCGGCATCTTCAATGGACCTGGCAACCCTAATTCTCCCTGGTCTTCAGCTATGGACGGACATGTAACTTAAGGCTACCCCCAAGACCCAAACATTACAGGAATCGTTCAAAATGGCAGAAGAGGCTGCTGAATCTGAGAGCCCCTTTTATGAACTATTGTGGGCAGTTAAGTTCACCTGCCTCAGAAAGAACTGACACCTGGAAATAGCGCATGTTGAAGTCAAGTTTTGTATTTTTATTGCAAAGATTGGTTGCAACATTCCCGGTTGCCAAACCACAAGAAGCACTTTCCAGAATCCTAGATACCCGCTCTAAAATCTAGAGACTCAGCTGTGCATGGGGTAGAGTTCCCAACTCCAGTTTGGGAAGTTCCTGGAGATTTGGGGGTAGTGCCAGGGGGAGGCAGAGTTTGGGGAGGTGGGAGGGGCTGAGCAGAGATGTGACGCCACAGAGTCCACCTTCTGCAGCTGCCGTTCCCTCCAGGGAAACTTGCTCTCTGTTTTCTGGAGATCAGTTGTAATTCTGGAAGAACCCACCTGGAAAATGGTAACCCTGGCGCAGGGAGAGTCCCACATTGTTTCAGAATCAGGGATGAAGGCTATTCCCTCCAGCCCCCCTGTACAGGTGGGATATTTGCACACAGGGCCAACGTGCACAGAGAGAGTGTGGGAGTGAACGCAACGGTCCCGCCTCCTGATTGTGACCAAGCGTTCTGATCCCGCCCCCTGTGGGGAGTGGTCACCCAACTATGGCTAAGGAACCTTTGCAGGCGGTACGTGCTTCAACTCCGCCCCCATACTTGGCAAAGAACGAGATCCCTCATCAGAGGCATCGAACCGGCGGAAGTACATTCCATAGGCCTTTTGCAGATAGTTGGGGAACGTGTGCAGGGGAAAGTACAGCTGGTGTGCTAATCCTCACTCCCCACCTCTGCCTACGTTGAACCTGTACAGAGTTATGATGTGTCTGGGTTGGTGGTGGTGGTGGGGACACAGTTCCTTTTCATTTCCTCAGTTGAACGTATATAAGAAATACACAGCTACACTTCAAGCTCTGAGCGATAAACAACTGTGTGTCTCTCATTTGATGGAAGGAAAGTTCTGTGCATGGGGAGGAGGTATAACTAGACACAATGGGGTGAATGGCAGTCTATTCAGTGTTCTTCTCTTGACTTTACCCAAGTCAGGTGTGATTTTATCTGCAGTGTAGATACTGCTGGAGGTGACAAGAATGTTTAGTATTTTAAAATAGTTAAGATGGCAGAGGCCATAGACAAGCATTCTCCTTTTCCTATATACTTGGATAATGTACCTTTCCTGACCACATTTTCAGTGTACCTGACGACCCTACCTCTTTGCTCATTGGTATTCTATCCTGTCTCCCTTAATAAATGGGGCGGGGCTAGCTTTCTTACAGGGCAAGAACTGCTGTCCATCTTTATCCCAAAACCACCTCATTTTCAGTCTGGGCCATTGAAACAGGCCAGTCCTCTTCCTGCTATAACACGGGATCCTGTCATTAGACCAACTAACCAAAGGGCCATTTCAAAATAATGGATATGTTACAGCAAGCTTTTGCACACGTCTTCAATTCAAGCAAAATTTGTCACTTTCTTAAAAAATAATAATAGCCGAGTGAACTTGCAGTGAATTTACACAGTGGGGTAATGCATAAGACCTCTAAAGCACATAACAAGGGCAGGGAGACGATGACGTGACATCACAGACATGGCCCAATAGGTGCCTCTGACATGTATGCAGATACTGACAATAGCAGTGGAAAGTGCTCAGATGGGAAAGAATCGCTTTCCCCCAGCATTTCTGCTTAGTTACTGGAATAGTGAGATATCTGTGCAAGACTGTGTGCAAGAAACCATGCAAGAGTGTTGCGCTTGAATAGCACCTGCACATCTCATGCAACAAAGTCTCTGGATGTTATTTCACAAGAAAGGGGAATTTAGGAAATCCTCCAATGTGTGAGGTAATGCTCTGTATCGTCATTGAGCCTGTCTTTGGTTTGTACCTTGTACAGCTTCCCTAGGAGTCATGTCCTGAAGGTGGGAATCCAGCAGTACTACCCAGGGTCCTTTTTTGTATCAAGATAACGTCAAAGGCTAGAAAAGGGAAGCCTTGGCCTGACAGAACGCTACTATGATTAATTTCATTTCTGCCAAGTACCATCTTCAATTCAGAGGTCTCCTCCTCCTTAAAAGTAGAGAGCTTTGCAGGTTGAGCTAACTATAAATAAAAAATACTCCCTGTGGATGTCTAGAAATTATGCTTCTAACAATCAACCCTCTAGCTTATATAGGTTTGTGCTTTCATTAATGTATGTGTAAAGTAAGTAACTGTTAGTCAGGGGCTATAAAACGTTAGAGCATATGTTTAAATAATTCCCTCCCCCTTGTTTATTCACTTCTTAATCTTTTAGACAATCTTTCTGTTCACAGTTTAATCAACTGATCGATCACTTTGCATAACACCCAGCCTTCAACTTAAGGACCTTTTTGAGAAGCTAAATGGAGATAATTCCCTAACCCTCAGCTATGCCAGGTGAAATTTCTCCTCACCGTAAGCTTTTGTTGATTAACCTACTGAATAAACTGACTGACACATTATCCCTTCCCTTACTATGTTCCCCTACCTTTCCTTGATACATATATACATATAGAACAGAAATTTGTCTGTTTGCAAAAAGTGGCAAATTTGCCTCATTTCCCCAACCTTTTTCTGCACTGCCATACAGACTAAAATGGATTACATCTGAACGACTAATACCTAGTCAAGCAGAACTATAAAATTCAGCAGTGAAGAGTTGTCAACGATTTCTTACGCAAGTTTGGCACTTAAGAGAAAAAATGATTGTTGTTATCTATTGCCCTTATTGTATCAGTCCCTTATCGGGCTGCTTCAGACCTTCTAAAATCCTCCATGCAGAGAATCTTTTGCTAGGGTTGCCAACTCCAGGTTGAGAAATTCCTGAAGATTTGGGGGGTGGAGCCTGGGCTGGGCAAGAGTTTGGGAAGGTGAGAGACCTTTAGAGGGTTATAATGCCACAGAGTCCACTCTCCAGAGCAGCCATTTTCTCCAGGGGTATTGATTTCTGTAGACAGGAGATTAGTTGTAATTCTGGGAGGTCTCCAGGCCCCAGCTGGGGGTTGGCAACCCGAGACTCCTTGCGGACATGGCTGCACGGAAGATGGGATGTCTGATCTGCTCCAATGAAGCTGAGAAGCATTGCTGCCCAGTGGTGAATTGTACATCTGCAGTGAGATTTACCTCAGCCCTCAGAGCTACTTTGGGTGTAGGGTTGCCAGGTCCTTACCTTCTTCCGGCAGGGGGCTCCAGCCTGCTCTCCTGGGTCTTTTGGTATGTACAAGAAGCATACACATTGCAATGACATCACCCAGAAGTGACGTCATCGCGCTGGGCAGGTTGTGAAGGGGACACTCTAGCATTTGGCTAAAAACTCTATGGTCACCATAGAGTTTTTAGCTAAATGCTAGAGCGCCCCCCCCCCACGCGATGTGCCTGGTATGATGATGTCACCTCTGGGGGACATCATCACCCTGGGCACATCAGGTGTAGTGAGGCTGTTTAGGGGGCAGGGCTCCCCCGACAGCCAGCTGGCCAGTGGTGGATCAGGGCCCCCGAAATCCGGGGAACCCCCACCCCCATCAGGGGGATGGCAACCCTATTTAGGTGGGTAGACACGCACTTTAAATGGGGTGCAGGTGAGCTCTGTTACCTTGTCTATGTCCCAGTTAAATGAGGCCTGAGATCAGGTGGGCGCAAGTGTGTCCGTACCAATTAGCCCACAGATTTAGAGCATCTGAATCAGACCTTAGACTCCAGGGGATGGTTTCCAGTGCAGTCAGTTCTGACAAAGCGAGCCCTGTTTCTCGAAAGTTTATATCTCAAAAATCTTGCTGGTTCCTCAGGTGCTACTGGACTCCAATCTAACCGTTACATGTTTGTAATCCCAGAGGTTTCTTGATATTTCTGTGACCTTTGCCACTGATGGAAATATGTGGCTCGGCATTCACCTCAGCCTAGGGTTGCC